CCTGAGTGGACGGACTCTTCATGTTCATCCTGCGCACTGGCAGCACAGAACCAGTGTGTCTCATTTGTTCAGAGACCGTGGCGCTCATTAAAAGTGCCAACACGCCACTATGAGACAAAACACAAAGTGTTTGACCAAACTTTCATTTCATTTCATTTTTATTTGTCCCGCTCATGGTACGCAAAACCAAATGTACAATAATTGCCACAAAACATGACTCTACCATTGAGCGAAAAGGAGCAGGGAGAAGAATAAAATCTTATGTGACCTGCCCCTTTCTAAAAAAAACAAATAAATACAAATAGATGGTCTGCCCTTCATAATAATAATTTTTTTTTCACAGCCAAACATAACAGTATCTTAGGATACTAAGAGAAACACACAAAAAAAATACTTATTTCCCACTTGACGGTTAACGGAAAGAAACAAGTCAGAACTGAGGTCACAACAGATGCATATCGTTCCAGCGCAGGCTAACTGAGGCTAACCAATGAGCACCTGCATGTGTGTATGAGAATGGCCCTGACACCATTTCAGCCCAGATTTAAACTCCTGGCGGGACAAGCTCCAGCTCAATTCTCGCACTGAATAAAACAAAGTGAGTGATGGATTGCAATATAAGAGGGAAAGAAAGAGAAACTTTAAAACTGTTCAATTGTTATGATGTGTAAAGACTGATATTGTTCTATAATCGTCTGAAACTGTTAAGTCATGATGTGAAACGGTTAACAAAGCTATTTTATTTATTTTCTCTATTTTATTTTTAAATGCAGCCAGAGAGGAACATTACACATATCCACAGTATATCTGTATAGTTCAATGTTAATTGACAATAAATATTGTTATAATAATAATATTGAATTGTACTTTTTTATTTGATTGGCAGTCAGTTGATTACATGTAGACGTTGATACAGCTGCAGGCTACTTCAATATATATCACACTAATTCATAAAGCAAGTTAGACATTTTGATGTTCCAGACCTTTGCATGGGGAGATTTTCTCTAACTGGACCTCGTTGAATTTTAGTTGAATACCCCTGCTGTATACGGTCCCGCACCAGCGCCTTTTCTTGCAGGTGAATAACCTGACCCCCGGCTCGATGAGCGAACTATGGATAAATCAAAGAAAAGAAAAGTATCGGAGGAACACAGAGGGTTTAATTCTGCGTGGTTAGAGTTATATGCTTTCACAGCAAATTATGCTGGCTTACCGGTATATTTGATATGAAGAGAGAAGTTGTCAAAGGTGCTGCAGCCTTTACGTATTGGAGGAAAAACACGGAAGAGGAAGACAGCTGACGATCTTCAGTCATAATTCAATCAGTTAACTCTTTTTAGGGTGCAGCTATATGTTTTATTTATTTCAAAGTGGGTCCATTTTAATTGTATTTATTTCCTTCAAATGTGCAGAGGACTCCCCAAGTGCTGTATTGATTTATTTTAAAGTAGGCCTGTGTATTTTGTTTCTATTCTCCTTATAAGAGTTCTTTGTTTCTTATACAGTTTTATAGCTTTTTACAGCTCTTTTGGCCAAAAAGGTTGCAGACCCCTGTCCTATGTCAATGCCAACTAGTGGCCCTTGGAATTCAGTTTTTACCTTATTTCACATTCTGAGAGGTGGGACAATGTTGTGGGCGTGCGTCCCCCACAACATACAATAAACCCCTAAGAGACACACACACACACACCACACACACACACACACACACACACACACACACACACACACACACACACACACACACACACACACACACACACACACACACACACACACACACACACACACACACACACACACACACACACACACACACGTACGTGCACTGTAAAAACGCAAACTTAAAATTGTTGGCCTGAAAATAATTTGTTTGTAAAGTGAACAAAAAATATTGAATTGAGTTGCTTACTACATTAAAGTAGTTATCTCGACTATCTTTATTATGTTGCTTGTTTAAAGTGTGTGTCGTTTAATAAATTCAGTTGGCAAAACTTAAAAATCCAAGGTTAGAGTTCAAACTAAGTTCTTTGTGTATGCTTCGAGCAATGAACGGGGTCTCCAACAGAAATCTGCAGGGGGTTTTCTACAGTATTTCGCCTTTACATGTTCGGCAGTGGCACTCTGCTGTTCTCAACGGGACTGATCATCCCTCTGGAGTCGGTATAATTCGCATAATTTTACGTAATTAATCATATATTTTCGATTATAAGGAGTAGAAATATGATTCAGATATCCGCGGAATCACTGGAAGAGTAGCTTTCCAGCGGTATCTCCTGTGAGACTGTAACCATGGCACAGCAGCCAATATGGCCGCTCAAAGCAGCTTGACTTTACACTGTGGATTCGTGGATTCGTGTGTCCGTCAAGGAAATCTCGGCCGGCAGCCATCATGGTCTGAAATGACCAATGGACATCGAGAAATCACTAAGGACCTACCCACCAAGTAAACAAAACATAAAACATGTGTCTCCCATCAGTTTACGTCTTTGAGGAGAGAGAGAGAGAGACAGAGAAAATGGCTAAAAAAAACTTTACAGTTGCCGACTTCGCTAGAGATTTTTTTCGCTAGCAGCAGTGAAGATAGAGCCTCAGAACGTGAAGTCTTCGACTCTTCTGAAGAAGAAGAATACAAAGACAACAACAAGGATCCATTTGGGCATGGGTAAGTGTAAATATTACAGTAATAGTGTACTGGCAATGTGTGGGGAATACCGCGAAAATGAACAATAGGTTTATTGATATATATTTGTTATCGATAGTCATGAACTTTTTATTGGACAAAATAGACTCTCCATTAGCAAATGTTTACTCTGTGTTAACGTTATTTTGGTGTGTAAAAGTGAGATTACATGTGTAGAGGATTAAATTAATCATTTATTCGTCCCACAACGGAGACATTTACAGTGACATGTTTTTGCCATCGATTATTTTATCATACTGTTCTGTACAGATGAGACTTTGTCATAGATTTATTGATGTGTGCCTGTTATTATTTGTACCGTCCTGTACAGATGAGACTTTGTAATCAGATGAGACTTTGTAATCAGATGTAGCCTATGTATATGTGTGTCTGTGATTTTATACTGAATGTAAAGTAACTGGAAATACCTGTGTGTGTGTGTGTGTGTGTGTGTGTGTGTGTGTTCCTTCTCCAACCTTCCAAACTTTCTTTTTATGTGTGCATTGTTATTTGTGCTTGAGCAACATTTTACTTGAACTTTATTTCAATGAAATTAGTTGTAATTATTGTCCTACATTTTAATTTGTTTTACAGAGAGGTTTCACAGCTGTCTGGGCCTAGTGGCCCACAGGCGGCGTTTATCCAGCAGCCAGAACATCCATCTGTGCTGGCCCCCAGGTCAAGATCTACCGTGGCTCAAGGGCCTTCACCACCAAGGACCAGCAGACCAGCATCACTACAGCTGCCTCCACCTCCATCTGCGGCTGCCACCAGGTCAAGATACACCTCAGCACAAAGGCTCCACCACAGCCATCACCTTCAACCCAGCCAGCAAGGAGGTCTCGTGGAGGTCTTGTATAGCACTTGTACACCCCACCTACACAGCAGCCCATGCACCATCACCCCCATCTTCACAGCAGCCAGACCCACTGTCTTGGAAGACAGACAAAGACCTTGACACTGTCTTGACATTTATAATGAATAGTTGGTTGAAAGTTCTGATGTTCAATAATGTAAATAGTTAGATTTTCCAGTTTCTTATATTTATATAAATAGTTGGTTGAAAAAAATATATTTATAATAAATTGTTGGTTGAAAAAAAGGTTGAATGCTCAATTTGTATTTGTACACATCACATGAACCTTGGTATGTAATATGAAGTCATTATTCAGTCCTAATGTATCTCAGTCCCTGCTGTGGTGAAAGTAGAGTGATAAACACCTATTTTACTCAAAATTCAAATTTAATTTTTTTAATTTTAGACATGAATAACACATTTATATACAGTGTAATTCAAATATTTCACTTATTTTGTGATCCTAAGACTTTGGTAACCTAATCTAAAATACCAAAACAATTCGATCACATGAGTACATTTGTGTTTTCACAAAAGTTTTGAAGATTTTCCGAAAATCGGATGTCAAATTTTAAGCTTTTGAGCTACTTATCCCATCAAACAGTGCTCTAAGGTGAGTAATTTGCATATAGCAATACCAGAGATTGTCCTGAACATTTTGATATTTAACACATGGGGTGCCATGTTAGAAGAAATACATTTAAAAGGTGATTTAAGAAAACATCTAAACATCGAGAAAATACCCTTAGACTCCAGAGGGTTAAGGTGAGCACTTTGTTTGAATGTTGTATTGAAATTATGAATATAGAAAATGACTGATTTAAAGTGTAACATTAATTGATTGTGAATTATTTAGTTGATTGTTAGTGAATTATCAGTTAATGTGGCACTAGATTTTAGTTTGTGGTACATTAGCCGAGTATAACATTGGCTAGCTAACGCTTCTCTTCAACAGGAAAAATGTTTTAGAAACGTTTATCATGTCTGGCCCTAGACTTCTAAGGTATGCTACGATGGACAAGTGTAGCCAGAAACGTGGTCGGCTGTTAGCTTAGCACATACAAGTTGAATATCAGTGGCAGAAAAATATAACTATGAATGGGGGTTTTAGCAATATTCTGGCAACCCGTCTCGGCCGGCATTGAGGACATGCGGGTTCCTATTATACATCCATGCATGCGGGTCTGTCAGGTCGAGCCTGGCGTGAGAGAGGAAACAGAACGTTAAACAGTTTTATGGCCAGAATATATGGTAAAAGACGGACTGCATAATTAAGGGAGGATTACCGTGAGTTAACGATCAACTAGAATGTAATGTGTGCGAGGGAATCAACCGTTTAAGAGCACAATATCAGCAAACATGTTTTCACCGTAGCTCCAACGATATTATTTTAAATGTTAATGTGAAATATTAAACAACATTAAAGGTTAAACGTGTTACAGCTTCATATATCGACATGTCTGATAGGTGGTAACAGTCATTTCTCTGTCCCCGTCAGTGCAGCAGACCGACGGAGACGAGACGACGGAGTGTGTTGAAGCGGCCTATATGAACAACTACAATCCCCGGTTCAGGTGGCGACTGGCGCGCTAACGGAGCTCCAGGAGGGAAAACCTTTGCGACGCTGAGGTTCGGCTGATTTGCAAAGGTATGCCAACATGGACGTGTGTTGTCTGCCACATGGTCGGCTTTTAGCTTGAAAAATATACGATGGTGCATATTAGCGTTAGCATAGGACAGTAAGAAAGGTACTACTTATTACTGCAAGAGCAGCTAGTGGTAAGGACCTCGGACAACTTAAATTTAAAACATGCTATTGAGACATGTGCCGTCAGTTTGAGGCGTGATTGAAGGTCATTCCAAGACCAAGGACCACAATAAAAAAGACTCCTTTTCCCAGCCTCAGTCCGCACAGCAGGAACCTGGAACCGTATCCAGGCACTGGATCTGAGGTTGTAAGAGTCACAAACTGGAGCAAATCTGGCAAGTTTAGTGTTTTATTCCGTTATAACAAAATAGCAATAAACAACGGTTTCCTTTTTAATGCCATTCTTAAATAAATGCAACAAGCTGTAGTTTTTGTAGACTGTAAATACACCAACTATATCTTTAGTTTATGATTTGTGTTATCAAATGTGTTCTGCGGCTACAGATATTTATTTTTTGTTGAAATGGGGCTCTTGTGATAGTAAAGGTTGCAGACCCACCATATATATCATACACAGTTTGTGTATATCTATGTATTGCAGCAAAAAACTGTGAAAGGTAAATTGACCATTTTGGCTTTTTAATTCTAATTACAGATATCATATGAAATGCAAATATTGTGATTTCGTCAGCTCAAGTCATGAGAGTGTACTGAGGCACCATCGACTTCGGCACGGAAGAGGAAATCACTGGCCCTGTGCCTACACCGACTGTGTCTGCACCTTCAGAACCTATGGGGCATTGAGGTCACACCTCACCAGATCCCACTGCAAGACTGCATCAAGGCAAGACACCTGCACCTTTTTTTGTGAGCTATGTGACTTCAGAGAAAAGTGTACTCAAAAGACGTTTTTCACTCATCTTGGAAATCATTTTTTTTTTAAAAACAGACTGTGAAGTGCCCCTTCCTCAGCTGTGGATTTAAAACGAACAAATGTAAAACCTTTAGTTCACATCGTTGCAGAAAGCACAGGAACACAGACAAAATAAGGACGTGTTTAAAACTGCATTCTGAAAATGAGGCCTTTGAAGCTCAAGATATTGACCAGCCATTAAATGTTGAAGTTGAGGCATCACACAGCTAAATAAATGGCTTCTACAGTAATTCTGAAAGGACTACAAACTGTCATTCATTGTATTAATGCTTTTGTTTTTATGCTATTTTTGTGTACCACAGATTTGCTATGAGTTCCTTCGAATCACTACCAAGGACCTGTTTGGGACATTTACAGCAGCCTTGGATGAATACTGTCCTCGACTGATAAAGCTGTATAGAGCCAGGAAAGGAGCCTTCGGACAAGGGATGGAAAACCTATTGGAGTCTCTTGATGAACAGGTAGCTTTTGTCTTTAATGTCGTAATGATAATTTACAATATTCTTAAAGAGAACAAACAGGTGCATCTCAATAAATTAGAATATCGTGGAAAAGTTGAATAATTTCAGTAATTCTATTTGAAGAGTGAAACTTATATTTTATATAGGTGCATCAGACACAAAATGAATTATTTAAAGCGTTTATTTGTTTTAATCTGGATGACTACAGTTTACACCTTTTTTATAACCCAAACACAGACACATTTTGAGACAAATGACTCGAAAAATCTTTGATTTTGAATGTCGAATGGGAAGTTTTCTGTTGCCTCAAAAATGCACTTCTCGTAACTCAAGAATAGATATGAAAGTTATTAAAAAGGTTAAAATCCATTTATATCTAAAAGGGGTGTCCTATCTTGTAAAAGCATCATATTTTGGTACTTACTTCACTTTTACCTCATCAACAAAGTTTACATAAGTCCTGTTTAATAATTCAATCTCTCTTCCGGTTCAAACAACTATTGCAAAGTTCTTTTGTTCAGAGAAGACTTGCCGTTTTTAATAAATCACAAATGGATCCTGACTTCTGAGATTCTGAAATGACCCTTTAATCACTCATTTTAACCATAAATCCTAATGCTCTGTTTTTCTGATTTACAGACATCTGACATTGCACAGCAACGAATGAGAATGTGTCTGCCCTTATTTGTCCGTGACAGTGCAGAGAAGCTCTTCCTGAAATGCCTGGTGTGTACAGTATGGTTGTCCATTAATCATAAGTCTACATTTAATGTCATACAAGTGCAGTTATTAAGTTTTCCTATAATCATAGATACATCTGTTTTGATGATGAAGCCCGAGTCTCAGGATAAATACTAGACCTGCTACAGAACTACTAGTGAACTAGTTGTACAACAGAACAGTTAACATTTTCACAGTAATTATTGTGTCATTGCTGAGCAATCAAAGCAGTGTTTTATTTGCCGTTATATAATATCCTTATTTGGTAAATAATAATTGCTTATCTGCTTTCTACATGCAGGACACTGATCCGGAAGAAAAGCAGACTGCTGGTGTCAAGATGGGAGTCCTCACTGTTCTCGTAGATGATGGTGGACCTACCCCGTCTCAAATGGTCAACAGTATTGCTGTTGTCTTGGAAGAGACAATTGTACTCTCGGATCTACCAGACATCCCAACTGCATTTGTCTACCTTTTTGGTCTACTCTATGCCCTGAACATTGAGTTTCCAAAAGAACACAAGTACACTTTTGAGACTGTTCAGCACATCTTCATGGGACTTTCCACCAGTTGCTCCCAGCGGGTCAGGAGTTTGAAAACAAAGCTCTTAATCTAAGTGAGCGTTGGCAAATTCAAAAACGGATTCACAAGATGTCCCCATTTCATTTTCCTGCCTTCACCGCTGTTTGTGACTTGAACATTCAGTTCCCAAAACCAAACTAACCCAAACTAACTAACTAAACCAACTAACTAACCCAAATAACCCAAGTTCTTTATCTTTACAGATAAAATGTTAACTAGTGACGTGAACATCTTGCTACATTTTCAAAGACATGTTCTCACTCTTAAAGCACAAGCACCTTTTTTCTCTAACATGATTTCACATTTTTCTCAAGCTGGCTTGCATACTCGTTGTTGTAATATTGCAAGGACTAGTTAGTAGTTACTGCCACAATTGTTGTCTTGCAGCTGTTTTTTTGTGTATAAAGAGCCATATAGTGGAGTAGTGGAAGAGTTGGAAATGGTGTGGTCCCTCAGAGTTGTGTTGGGAGAAATCACTGGCTGTTTACATGCCGTTTTACAGATTGTTCATTTTCGTTATTAAACACTAACTTTGCCATTTGTTATTCCATAGCTGCTATTGTTTTGACAGCAGGCTTATTCAAAGGGTGGTTTGCACATTTTTATGGAACCCTAGCCTTATGGAAGACTTTTAGTGATGGTGTATTTTCAATGTTGTTACACATATTCAGTATCATTGGAAATCTTTGTTTTTTACAGTATTTTTATAACAGAAGTTTGTAATAAAAATCTGAAGTTTGTATTTGATACATTTTCTGAAACAAAAATATTAACTTTGCACAACTTTCACTTAATGGAATTGTTAGTATGTAGTACTCAAAATAAGAAGTTTCTATACATATGAAAGGTACATTTTCTAGACCAAAAATAATAACTTGGCACAACTTTCACTTAATGGAATTCTTTGTATGTGGAACTCAAAGTTAGAAGTTTTTAAACGTATGAAAGATACATTTTCCAAACCAAAGATAATAAGTTAGCACAACCTTTACTTATTTAAAATGATAAGTATGCAGAACTCAAAACTTGAAGTTGTACACAATTTGAATGAGTTGTCTCGACAAAATATAATTAGTTGACTCGATTGAAAAGAGAAACTTAGAAATGTTAGTTGGCCTCAAAACTTAAAAATCTTGTGCAGCCTGTTGCCTTGACATTTTGAGTTGTCCTAGCTTTTTTGTTTTTACAGTGTGCAGAGAACCTTTTTCAAGGAAGATTCATACAGGAGAGCTACTCAGAGCTGCTGCAAACACCATTAAACAGCCTTGGGAGCATATACAAGAAGAAATAACAAAGTTCCTGTTTTCAGACTTTGCGTGCATGTACGTGGGTGTCTGTGTGTGTGTGTGTGTCACAGTGGGCCCTCCTGACCTGTGTTAATGTCCCCATTCACACTTCCCTTCCAATAATGTGTGTATGTGTTTTTTCCTAACGGCTTAATTTGATGCTTACAAATTTAATTTGTTGAAAAAAAATCAAAGATGAAGAATGTCTTTGGCTGCAAATAAAAAAATTTCAACATAAAAAAACTGTTTTTAAAAGCCTCCATTTACCAAGGATTAAAAACTGTTTGAGTAGAAATCGTTAATTAAGCGCAAGAGGTTTTTGTAAAGCTGGATGAGAGAACAGAGTTCACTACAGTATCTGAAAGCTCCCTGAGGGGGGCTGCAAAGAAACCTTGTTGTTTTTCATGGAGCTGCTGGGGAACACACACACACACACACACACACACACACACACACACACACACACACACACACACACACACACACACACACACACACACACACACACACACACACACACACACACACACACACACACACACACACACACACACACACACACACACACACACACACACACACACACACACACACACACACACACACACACACACATTTACTGAAAAGGTTAGCTGTGACATGTTCTTTGGCATTTTCGAGGCAATAAAACCCCATCAAGCAAACACAGCCATGTGTGACCAACATGGCTGCTCAGCTGCGGCTCACAAACTGCGGCTCACACACTGCTGTTGAAGGCTTCCTGAGGTGTCGGCCTGAAACTCACACTAGCAGAAAAAAAGAAAAAAAAAGAGCCAACAAACCAGAAGTAGTGAACAAAGTGTTTGAATTTGGCAACTTCACTTGTTAGCAGCTTCAAATACCCGGAAATGACATCAGTGAACTGCTCATAGCATGTGTACCAAAGCAGACAGTTGTCTTCTAATAACAGAAGTCAGAGAGATCTGAGTGAAGTCGCCTTCTTGTCAACACAACACTCGCTCTCGGCTCATTACGACCCCTTAAATTCAGACCTAAAGGAGCGTTTGTTTTTAAAGCATCTTGTGTGTGATCTAATAGTTCTGATATTAGATCAGATAAATCACAGCAACAGAGTTGGATCATGATTTAAAGGGGCCCTACTCTGCTGATGTTCAGGTGTTTATCAGTATGTAGTGTCTCTACTTTAAAGAGTCCTCTCCTGCTGATGTTATGTTTAATCACTTAAAGAAACACCCTTTGAGAGGAGGATACTGGAGGGAAAGCTGAGAGTAAAAGAGCTCGGACCTGATCAGCCTGACATAGGCAAGCAAAGACAACACACAACTTCACTGTACGGGGCCAAAACGGCAAATACGTCTTACCTTTGCTGTTTTCTGATCAAAAGTTGTGTTCAATGGCATTAGAATGCATATAAACGCTGCTGAAGGTTAATCCAATGTCTCTGTGTCACTTTGAAATGATTACTGATAATCCATCATAAATATATGTCAATAAGAGTAGTTTGTATATACAGTGGGGCAAAAAAGTATTTAGTCAGCCACCAATTGTTCAAGTTCTCCCACTTAAAAAGATGAGAGAGGCCTGTAATTTTCATCCTAGGTACACTTCAACTATGAGAGACAGAATGGGGGGAAAGAATCCAGGAAATCACATTGTAGGATTTTTAATGAATTAATTTGTAAATTCCTCGGTAAAATAAGTATTTGGTCACCTACAAACAAACAAGATGTATGGCTCTCACAGACCTGTAACTTCCTCTTTAAGAGCCTCCTCTGTCCTCCACTTGTTAACTGTATTAATGGCACCTGTTTGAACTCGTTATCAGTATAAAAGACACCTGTCCGGACTTCCGGTGGCGCCATGAGTTAGGAGACAGGGAAAACAAGCTCTTTAAAACAATATGTAAGGCAGTAACTTAACCTAAGACAAAACCTGACGGATACAAGTAATTTTTAAAAGGATGGATAAAAAACTGAAACCTGGTAAGAAAAATATTGCGAGTGACCGACACACCGAAACAACGAGGCCGGAGATGAAGCGTGTGAGCGGAGAGGAGGACTCGGTGATAGTGGCGGAGATACGCAAGCTGAGAAACGAGCACACAGAAGCGGCAAACGACACGAAAGAGGCTCTGACACGACTAGACAATGTCCTTAAAGACATGGTGGAAAGAACAGCCTTGTTAGAGCAGCGAATGGTGAAGACTGAAGAGATGCTAGGGGACACGGAAGACAGGATGGCGCGGCTGGAACGTTCGGTTGCCTTCCTGCTTCACCAAGAGGCAAAGTTAGTTGCCAAGTGTGACGATTTGGAATCAAGGTCGAGACGCAATAATGTGCGGATACATGGCATACCCGAGGGCTCTGAGAAAAATGACACAATAGGGTTTATATCTGGCTTTATTCGTTCATCACTGCAAATCCCGGCGGAGGTGGATAGTCGCATCGAAAGAGCGCACCGCTCACTGCTCGCCAAACCGAAGGAGAACACGGCTCCTCCGAGAGCGATAATTGTTCGCTTTCTAAGAGCAGGTCATACAGCAGGCATGGAAACAAAAGACCACATATGAGGGACGGACCATCTACTTCAATCAAGATTACACAAATGAGGTTCAGAAAAAGAGAAAGCAGGTGCGGGACGTAATAAAAAAGTTAAAGAACAAGAACGTCAAGGCACAGTCCCCATATCCTGCACAGCTAAAAGTGTTCCTGGCATCAGGGACTAAGATATTCACTACATTAACGGAGGCTGCGCCTATGCTGAGGGACATGGGGATCCATGTACAGGAGGAGGAGAGGGATGAACTACAGAGGCTGAGAACACAAAGCAGTTGGACAATGGTGACGAGACAGAGGAGAAGAGGACAGAGAAGAGGAGTCAGCCTCACACCAGGGCCAGACCCACAGGCCGTCACAGAATAAACTCACGGTCATGATCACTATGGTAAGGACGAGAAAAAGAACTAGAACAAATATATATAAAACCAGGAGAAGGTCCTGAAACATAATACACTACCTGTGCAAACTACTGAAAATGTTGGTAATATAGAGCAAATTCACAACTCACTTTGAGTAAGTAGGAACTTTACATAACAGCTGGAAGTTGCAAGTGCACATAGTGCTATTTCCCCAGGGAGAATTCGCCACACCTCTCTGGTTAGGGGACTTTTGGGAGTCATGTTGTTTGAGTCATGTGTTCAGGGGGGTATACTACGAAGCAGGATTTTCGCTTAGCCGGCTAAATTCAGGGAAAACTCCGGCTTTCCGGTCCTACGAAGCTGGTTCTCTTTTTAGCAGGCTAGATCTCCATGGTAACTTATGCTTAGCGGCTAACCTGGTCGGGACCAGGTTAGGTTGCAGGCTAAGAGATCAACTCAGTGAAAGCACTGCCTGCTGACCAATCAGAGCTCAGTGTGCGGAGTTTAAAGCGATCAAGTCATATTACAGGAGAAAGGAAATACAGAAAAGCTGCCGTCGCAGGAAAGACGGCCGGCAAAAATCACCGACTGTGTGAACGTGAACATTAATAGAATATCACCTCCCATCTTCAGAGCAATCTGACTATTATAACATTAGCGTTAAGAACACTTATCACATATCTACCACAACATAAGTAACCGGATCAGAGTAACATTAAGTAGGCCTACAGTCCGCGGCATATCACTTCATAATGTATCATATATTTTCTTATCTGAGTCAGCTGAGCCGTATCTGGCCGTGCAACACTCAG